ATTCTTTCCCCAAAAATCTCTCACAAACAAGCTCTAAAAAAGTAATTTAAAATTGAATTAATGTGATGATCATCCCTATTTCTTATTTTAATATCATAAACTATGCGATTATTTTTTAAAATAATAAAATAGTAAATAATATGATCAAATGCAGTAGAAAAACAACGACATCAAAAATAGATTACTGCTACAATGTCCCTGTTTGGTATGTACTTTTTAGAACTCATTTTTTTTTCCCTCCAAACTCATTTTCAAACATACATTCGCTTCGTAAAATAACTTTTTACTTTTTTTTTTTAGTTTTTTTTTTGGCCACGCATTACTCAAAAAAAAAAAATCATTTTATATTATGAAAAAGTTTATATCAAACAAACTTATATTAATATCCAAAAGGGGATTTGTTTTTTGTAAATAGACTAACCCAAAAAGGACAAATAGTAGAAGATGTGAACCTCCAAAACCAGATGAAGGCGTCCTGTGGTGAAAGTGACTGTAAAAATCACGTTGATCTTCTTAAACTTCCAGCTTTTCTTCATACTAGTTGATGCACGTGCAATGCACGTGTTTGAATATAGTTGACTATTTAATAGTGTGGAGTGATTGTTACCTAAAAGTAACTTTTAGGCTTAGGAAACATGCTTAAGTATGTTACCCAATTAAACATAACCATGGTTTCGCTGGTAAAAGTTTCTCGATGAAAGTCAACATATAGCAAAATAACAACAATCAGAATTAATGGTGCATTAACTTTACCAACTTATCCCGAATAATATTTCCGCATAATATGTCTTCCTTTTCTAAATGACTATCAAACTATTTAACCAGTTATTTTCTTATATATTTTAATTGATTGATTCTTAAGTATGTAGAGGCAAAACTAATCTGACATAGCAACGAGAAAATTTTAACGAAAAATACAATGACAACTACTGAACACAGAATAGCATTGCACTGGACAAGAACACGTATTTAGCTTCTTTTCCATTAGTATTTTTCATAATAGCCAATCCAATGTACCAAAAATATATGCTTTAAAGCTTAAATGAATCTAATGAAAATCACTGTAAATTACTTGAGACCCGTCCCAAAGCTGACCCCAGTAAACACTGCCAAATCCACCTTCTCCAAGCTTGTTGTCATAATTAAAATTGTTTGTGGCCAATTGCAATTCCTTCAGAGAAAAAATCCTCCATGTCAATACCTTTTTTCCTTGATTTTTCCTGTACAAATTCACAAGTACATATAATTTAACTACATTCCCAACAATAGAATTAATGCATACGCATACGAAATAAAAAACTCACCAAATTAATCTTTCTTAAAACTATTCAAGTAGCCCAAGTTTAATAATAGAAGTTAAAGAATGATAACTCTATATAATTCCAAAAAA